ATTTTTTCCTACCAACTCCACCGCCCTCAATCCAACCCACGCACAACAAAGCCTCACAACGATGTCTAAAGAGTTTTCCACGCCTAAAAAAGCACGCGTGCAAGCCGTATGCGATTTCCTTGATACAGAAAAGCGTCCCTACAGTTACAATGCCGTCTACGATGGTTAGCCCCTTAGATTTTAGCCCCTTTTTTTTTTGCGGTCTCAACGATTTTGTCATGGGGGTGTCAGGTCAGACCTTTTCCTCTGAGCGCAATAGCTCGCAGGGTTGCGAAGAAGGGGGGCCACATGACGCCCGGCGGTGGGACCGCCCCAAGAAGGCGGCTGTGTGCCTGCCTCCCTCCAGTGCTGTGCTGTGCTGTGCTGTGCTGTGCTTTGCTGTATGTTCCAGTCCAGCTGCTGCACGCTCCATTATCCGCGCGCGTTTTCCTCTGTATCATATTTGACTATGCTGCATGGCGCCCCTGGCCAATCGTAGCGCCTTCCCCCCACCACACGGAACGGGGTTGGTCGCACAGTTTGGGGCCCAGCTGTCAGCTATCAGATATGCTTGCTTTTTTTTCTTGCTCTGGCCTTTGGTCACTGCAGCCACCCTGATTTTTTTTTCCCATCAAGAGACGCCGACCAAGCAACGGCAGGGAAACCAACCCGCCCGGATGGGTGTCCCGCGGCCTGCTATTGGCTGGATAAATAGTGCCGGCGAAGCCTGCTGCATGCGCTGCGACTCGTCCCCTCTTGCGGAGGCGCGCCTTGTGCAGCAAGTGATGCATACACAAAAACATGCCCACGGATGAGTCGGCGACAACATGAGAAATCGGCCGTGGCCGTGGCCGTGGCCGTGTGTCCCTCGCCCTCCCCGCTCACCCAAGGGCTGGCTGCAGCTTGCATGGGAGGCACGGAGGGGACGTACATGTAGGCACCACCGCTGTAGGGTTTATGCAGTGCAGCGGCCATGGGCTTGCTGCTGCGGCCTGCCATCAGATCACTGCCATCCAATAACGCCGTCGCCACGGCCGGGCATGGCCAATGTCCGTGTCGTCTTTTTGCCACTTGCCTGGTCGGCGCTACCCCGCTGTCGTCGGACAGGGTGCAAGAAGAAAAGAAAAAAAAAAAAAAAGACCTAGACCGTGGGCCGACAGCCATAGGCTCCACCTTATTTCCTCTTCCTGTCTTCTTCCCCATCATCGCGTTGCCCGAATTGGGGCTGCGAAGAAGTGGCCAGCAAAGATTCAAGCAGCAAAACAGTCTGACAACAAAACCTAAAAGCCGAAAAGACTCAACGCCCTCGTGTTTTCGCTCTCCAGCTGTCCCTCTCGTGGGGCAGCGGCCTTGGGTGGGCAACGATGATGACTCGAACCACGCATCCTCTGGACCACGGTTAATGCCGATATCGTGCCAGATCCCAATCTCCCATATTGCGTCTCTTGTTGCTGCCACTTTTGTGATTCCCACTGTCGCCCTCTCTGGCGCCGTCTCTGGTAGAGAGAACACGTATGTACCTTTTGCGGGAAGGATTTACGGTACCGGATATTTCGAGTCATAGTGGGGCGGCCCAAGGACTTTGGAGCTGACTTGTTGTAGCAAAATGGAAAGAAGGCCAATGGGCGGGCCACATCGGGGTTGCATAAAGGGCACGGCGGTTGAACAACTCAGAATAACTGGGGCTCACGGTCTCCTCCTGACGGGGGCCCTCTTTTCTTACGTGCCCGGCACAGAGAGCGGGGTTGTGGGCGTTCGATTGCTCGATTGCCAGCGGGTTCCAGACAGGGCCGTCCCCTGGCTGTAAACGGCTTGTCGTCGCACACGGGGGAGGAGGAGCCCACCCTTGCCTTGTCCTATCGTGTCTTTCCTTTCCATGCGCCTGTTATTTTCCAGTTCACCTGGCTCTGGGCCACGGTGTGTCGTGTTCTCTTCTCCGTGCCTCTCTCGCTGTGCGTCCGGGGGTTCCTCTCGCTGAGCTGTCCCCCCTTTCTCGCTTCGCCGTCGCGCACCAGTGCCGGCTCGCCAGGTGACAGAAAGAGGATATCCCGTAGCCGCCCCAAAGGGCACACAGCCGTCGAGCTTCCTCGGCAGCGTGGCAAAGTGTGGATCCATGTCTGAAATGGTCCGAGGGTGGGCGCACGCGCACCCGAGGGGGGGGGGGGGAGGCCCTGGACAGGGTCCAGGTAAACAAGATTAGAAACGGTTGATCCAACCTGCCCGGCGGCTGGCTGGTCTGTCACTTTGGGACGAAGACAGCAAGGTGAAAGTTGGCGGACGGACGAGGCGGAGGCCCTTGTCTACGCAGCACCAGAGGCCACAGTGTGTTTGCGGCCAGCTGTGCCGCACGCGTGTGTGTTGGTGCGATGTGGTAGGCGCCCACGACGGTTCCCCCTTGTGCGGATACGCATCTGCTGTGCCAGCCCACTACCGTATACACCGCATAGGTACGTGTGTAGTAATTCTTCATTGCTACATGACGGTTTTTTTTTGGGGTTTTTTTTTCAAACACGTCGTTTCGGTCCACGCCGCAAAAGATGGGTCTCCGCCGGCAGCCGTGGCTGTGAGCAAGACCAGGCCCGTGGCGATCGGCGGGATTTGGGGAGGGTGACATCGTCATCTCGAATCGAAGCGAGGGTTCATCCAAGCCAATTTCCTTTGCGCGCAGCACAGCACCAGTGCAACAGCTCGCTGCAGAGTGAGCAAGGTTGCAAGGTGGTAATGGGTAATAGCCGGCCGCGGTGGTGGTGGGAGCAAGCTCCCTCGGCCTGCTCGCCTAGATCGCGCGCGCGACAATAACGCAAGAAAAGTTCATAGCCCTCATACATGACGGCAGGTGAGGTGTGGTGGTGCCAGCCAGCGAGCCGCCGGCCAGCCAAACAGCCAGACCGGAGCAGAGACTACGACGCGTGTGCTGCGACGCATGCAACCAACCCAGTGGGAAATTGAAACCTGCGCAGCACACCACCGTGACCACACCACACAGACACACGCACACACCAAGTCTAGAAGCCTGGCAGAGCTGGCGAGCGGGCTGGGCGAGGAGATCTGCAGCCCAAGACGAGGGAGGGGGAGGGGGCGGACGAGCCGGCGTGCATGATTGGAAAAGGATGCACTTGGGGATGTTACTGGGAGTTACTGGCAGCAGCGCAGGGCGGTAGGCCAGGTACCTGCGAATCCGGCCGAGGCGCTGGCAAATATGGAGTCCCAATATTGGGCTCGACTTATCGGCGGCCTAACACGCAAGCCCCAAAAGGAATGCGTGGACGGATGGATGCAGAAGGCGAAGCCCCTCGAGCGGGCGACTTTCCATCTCCCGTCATCGCCCTCTTCGTCTTTGGCGTGGGCCCCGCGCCATCCTCCGCCGCCAATAGTTGCATTCCCTGAGGCTGGCTGGCCGCAGGAAAGGAAGGGCTTTCCCTTCCTGGCTTTCCCTTCCCGGTGCGATTTTCTGCACGGGTCAACAGCGCCCAGGGTGTTTGGCCGCGTCTTTCCGGGCGCTAGTCACCTACCAGTCAGCTAGACAAGACCCTGGGTGGTGAGACGGGCTACGGAACGGCAGGGAAAAAAAGAAGGCGGCGGTGCCAACCAAAGGGGCAAGAAAAAGCAGGCACAAGGGAGGGAAAGGGCCAGAAGTGAGGCTGTCGGGTGTGGCATGGGGGGCCGGCCAATCTTGCCGACAGAACGAAAAGCAAAAAAAAAAAAAAAGGAAGAAGAGCAAAGAGAAAAAATGCTAGGCGGCAAGGTCCTGGGGTTTCCCTTCTGCCATCTCCCGAAGCCTTCCAGAAAGAGCCATCGGCCGCTCACGTGTGAGCGGGCCCCACCTGTTTTATTGGAGCGAGGCTGCACTTGCATTGCGTCGCGGTCGCTGGGTCCCCTGCGAAAGGGGGCGCGGTTTTGCCCATTCGGCGCCCGCTCGGCTGCCTTGGCTGCCAATCGGGGGGATCCGCCGCCATTTCTTTTTGCCTTGCTCCGCGCTCCGCTTCTGCCGATGACAGATTTCATCAGAGCAGAAAGACAGAACGTCGTTTGGTTACTGTGAATGTGCCCTTCCCTCCATTTCCCCCCCTGCCCTGACGTCGCATCCATTCCCCATCGTTCTTTGGCGCGGCGAGCCAGACAAGGCCCGGAGGGGACGCTCGCAATCTTGCGAGCAGGGCCGGGCGGCGGCAAGACAAGGCGAGAAAGCAAACAAGCGCGCCCACTAACCCCGGGGAAATTCCCTGTTTTGCCATGCGCCGCCCCGTCCGGCGGTTGCCAGTACCAGGAAAGACAAAAAAAAAAAAAAAAAAAGGAAGATGGCATCGGAAACGACACGGTAGCAGCGTTCCTCGCGCAGTCTCTGCTTTCCCATGTGGCACCCCGTTGCAACCCCCTGAGAGATGAGGTCCAGGGTGGATACGACCAAGAAGGCGCGAACGAACCCAGGCATGCCAGGCCTGCCCCTCCCGGGGAGGAGGCGAAGGAGAGAATCCATTACCACATTGCGACGGGAGCATTCCGATAGACCGCGAATGACGGGCGCCAAAGGGGAGAAGAAAACAAGGAAAGGTGTGTGTATGTGCGTGGTGGTTAGTGATGGCACCCTTTGATGATACCCGATTGGGAATAGGCAGCGTCATAAAAGACTGGGGCCGGTGTGTGTGGAGCGCGAGGTAAATAGCACGGTGCGCGCGTGGGATCCGCACGCCATATTTGAGCCCACCCACACACACAGACACAAAGCACAGACACAGCACCATGGAACGTTATTGGAGTCATGTGCGGCAGCGGGGTCTGTTCGCGCGCGCAGCATGGCTGGGTGGCTGCACGAGAGATGTTGTAATTCGCCCTCGGCCTCGCATCGGCCTGCTGCGAGCCAATCAGACCGGCGGGCCTGGGTCTGCAGGATTCGACCTTTTTTTTTTTTCTTCAGTCCTCCTGAGCCTTCCATCATTGTCCATCATCATCATCATCACACCTCTTTTTTTTTTTCTTTTATTGCCCATGGCTGTGTGAATCTTGGCCCTCCTGCAGCTGCCCGCCAGGCCAGGCGGGAGACGCACGGCCCACATACTGGCCCGAGACAGGGCACGATAGGGCCTGGATGGCTCATCCATCATCTCCCGCCCTTTTTTTTACTTTGGCCTGCATTTCCCTTCTCCTCCCTCCCCAGATGATGTCGCACGCAGGCTTGTCGACGGCACGCATCACACCACAGAGCACAAAAGGGCCCGTGCGGTCGCTTTTTCTCCCCGCCGACTTGACGGGTTGAGATCGCATGGTTCGTGCCCACCCCCGGGCAATTCTCAGACGACAGGTGGAGGGAAACGGTTTTCGGATCTTGGGGACCAGGCAAGGGCTGAAGGGGCACGAGCCTGCTCCATTTTCCCAATCTCGTTTCTCCTTCCCATTCTTTTCGGGGGCCCATCACGGGAGCTTGACAGGCTAGCGATGTCACGCCCGCCCGGCTGTGGTCTGTTCGAGCTGCCGCCCCTCCACCAAGAAGCAGCCGCCGGTGCCGCGGCGTCGACACGGCACAAGGACCCATGGCCACGCCTTTGGGACGGACGGTCGGATACCTGCTCCCGGTCTAGGCTGGGTTTCCTTGTCGTCTAGCTCCGTCTCGAGTTGACTTGTCCACCTTGAGCTGCGCTTTGCTTGCTTTTTTTTTCCACCTCGTAGCCCCTCTTTTACTGTCTTTCCATCACCAGTTGCTTATCCGATGTTTTCCCCCTCCCTTTCGCCGCGGTTTGTCTCAAGATAAACAAGGTAGCCAGTGGCTATCCCAAGCAGCGCGAAAATGACGACAAGCGTCGCATCACAAGGTATTCGCTTCGGTTTTGGACTAGGGCGGCATAGCACGGATGTCATCACATCACGACAGGGCATGGCGTGGGCAATAAGCGCGGGCATATGGGCATGGGTGGGCAAACATGGGAAAGTTCGGGGTGTTGCATGTTTGAAAAAGGGAGGTTGGGCAGATCAATGTTTCGAACGCCTCATCTTCCGCGTCCCTGCCGCGACGATGCCCAGCAACAGAATGGCGGTGGCCTCCTTCGTCCCGTCTCTCGTGTGTGGTTCCATCTTTTGTGATTCTGCTTCGGCGCCAAAACAAACTCGTCAGCCACCAAACCATGGAGAGGGGGGGTCATCAGCCCCAGCCTGTGTTGACTGTGGCGGGCGTTTCAAACGCTGGCAAGGTAGTGTTTAGGCTATGTATAGCGAGATAGCCGATGGATGCAATAGCCCCCAGGGCCCTGTGATATTGGGCCGGGATGGGTCAGCAGACGGGAGAGACCCTGAAGGTCGAGCACTATCTGGTCCAGGGAAAGAAGAGGGTGTGATGCTCAGAGCGGACCAACCGTCGTCTCGGTAAACATTCTTCGGGCGGACATGATACTCTGTTGGGCCGTCCAGCCCGCGACCGGCAGGCATATGGCTGGCTGACGGACAGGACGGCCCTCTCTGGGTGCGGTGGACTGGCGGTGTGACGGAAGGGTGGAGAGGGAAACCAATGCGAGCAATGCCTTTGAAGGGAGGGAGCAAGGCCAGCCAGCAAGACAAGACAAGGCAAAGGTGGCAGCAAGTGGTGGCAGCGGCAAAAACAGCCGGGAATGCGTCAAATATCGTCCCATCTCTTTTCTGTGACGCCCCGACTGGATCAGCAACAGGCCAAGCACGGCCGTCCACCACCGTCCCGGGTCGGGTTATTTTTCTTCTTCTTCGTCTTCTTCTTGGAAGATCAAGAGGCTTTGGAAACGAGGTCCGTTGCACGGACGCACGACTTCTCGTTCCCGTTGGACCACCACTGCCGTGGGCTTTTTCTTTTCATCCCTTGGCGCTTGCATCGCCCGGCCCGCATGACCGCGTGAACGGGCGGGCGCCAGAAGCCCACATGTCGTTGGGGGGGGTTTTTTATTTTCTGTTTATGTTTATTCTTTTCCACGCCGCTGGCACGTTCCCGTTCGTTTGTCTCGTCTGGTCATGACGCATTTGCACGGCCGCCCAGGGGTCCAGGCGGTATTGCACGTACACAGTAATGCCTCGTGGTTGTCTCTCCTTTTTCCGGTGCCTGTTCCAGATCAATTTTTTCATCATGGCACCCACCCGTCTTCATAGCTCCATATGACCGG